GAAGGAGAGGAAGGGTGGAGGAGGGAGGAGGCAGGAGGGACGAGGGAGGAGGGAGGAGGAGGATGAAGGAGGGAGGATGGAGGAGGAGCGAGGGGGATGAGGAGGGGGAGGGGGGGAGGAGGAGGAGGAGGAGGATGAGGAGGAGGAGGAGGAGGAGGAGGAAGAGGAGGAGGAGGAGGAGGAGGAGGATGAGGAGGAGGAGGAGGAGGAAGAGGAGAAGGAGGAAGAACAATAATAATAGGACGACGACGACTAATAATACGAATGCTAATAATCATAAGAAGAAACACCATAATACTACTAATTACAATAACACAGAGAAGAATAACAAGACTACTGCTACGAAGAAAATTAATCATACTAGTACTAATGATACTGATAATATTAATTTTACGACGAATACGAATACGAAAACGAATCAGACGACGAATACTAAGAAAATTAATAATATTATAATAAGACGAAGAACCATACTACTACGAAGAAGAATAAGACTACTAATACGAAGAAGACGAACAATACGAACACTGCGACGACGACTAACGCGACTACGACTACTAAGAATAAGACTAATAATAATATTCAGAAGAAGAAGAACAATGAAAACCACTACGACGACTAACAAGACGATCAATACTACTACTAATGAGAATAAGCCAAATAATAATAATGATCGGACGACTAATCATAAGAGGGGTACTAATACGAATAATAATACAAATAAGAATAATATTCAGAAGAATAAGACTAATCGTAATAAAAATAAGACTAATACTACGAATACTATGAAGAATACTAAGAATAATACTACTACTCAGAAACTAAGATAACTAATACGCCGACCAATACTACTAATAATACTGATACTACTAAGAATCATAATGATAGTAGTAATACTAGTACTAATAATACTGATGATAATAATAATACGGATAAGAATGATAATACTAATAACATTAATAATAATACAAATAATAATAATTCTGATACTACTAATACTAATGATAATCATAAGAGGGGGAGGAGGAGGAAGAGGAGGACGAGGAGGAGGTGGAGGAGGATGAGGAGGAGGCGGAGGCGGAGGCGGAGGAGGAGGAGGAGGAGAAGGAGGCGGAGGAGGAGGAGGAGGAGGACAGCAGCAGGAGCAGCAGCAGCAGCAGCAGCAGCATCAGCAGGAGGAGACGGAGGGGGAGACGGATGATGCTGATGATGATGAGGAGGAGGAGGAGGGGGGAAGGAGGAGGAGGAGGAGGAGGAGGAGGAGGAGGAGGAGGAGGACGAGGCGGAGGAGGAGGAGGAGGCGGAGGAGGAGGAGGAGGAGGAGGAAGAGGAGGAGGAGGAGGAGAGGAGGACCATGGAGACGAGGAGGGGAGCTCTTACTGGGACCCTCTGGGTACGTCCTGGGAGCTGCCTGGGGGCCAGTTGGGGGCCTCTTGGGATTGCCTTGGGAGGCTCCTGGGGCCCCTTGGGCAGTCTCAGGGAGCCCTTGGCCCGTCTGACGCTTTCGGAGGCAGTCTTGGTTCCCTGTTGGAGCGCTTTGAGCCTGCCTTGGGGCCCTCTCAGGAGCCTGTTGGGCGATCTTGGGGTCCTATTGAGCCGACGTGGGGCCCTCTTGGGGCCCTCTTGGGCTGCCTGTTTGGCCATCTTGGACGGTCGCACACCCAAACAGGCGAGAACCTCAGCCTCCTTCAAACAAGCTAGGGGGCTCCAGGGCTTTTGCCTCCTTGGCTCTCCTCGAGGGCCTCGTGAAGCCTTCTTTCGCCGTCTTGGAGGTCTCTCTGGCGGTCTTCAGGCCCTCTTGCGCGCTCTCGGGTCGTCTTGGTGCCATCTCGGCTGTCTTGGAAGCTCTCTTGGAGGCCATCCTGGCAGTCGACAGGCTGAATCACAATCCACGGAGCAACATCAGGGGGGGGGTCAAGGAGCGCGCGCGGGCAGGTGAAGGGCGGCCCTATGACGCACAAAACGACTAGCGAGAGACGTTCCATACAGGGCTTAAGCCCCAATAGGGGGGTGGTCGGGGGGGGGGGGGCGCGTGGCGGGGCGAAATGTCTATCACGCTCTCGGGGGGTCGAGTTGGCAGCTTGTTCGGCCCTGGAGGCTTCAAGACGGTCCACATGGCTTCCAAGACGGCCACACCTGCCCCCAATATTGCCTCACATATTCCCAAGAGCACCCGAAGGCGGTCCAGGAGCGCTCCCAGAGGGCTCCCGTCTGTCTCGTCACGGCCCAAGAGGTCCCCCAGGGCGCCCCGAGAGGCCCCACGAGGACTCCCAAGGAGGCCCAGAGGAGAGGCGGCACACCAAAACGGATGCCCTTAGGTGTTCGACGGACTTTGGGGTTACCCCCTGTTCGGGCCGAGAACGGCCACATGCGGCCCTGCGTAGGGGGCATGCGATATCGTCCCAAGACGTCCCAAGAGGTTCCCAAGAGGGCACCGAAACGGCCCACGAGGGCTTCCAGACGGTCCAAGAGGGCCTCCAAGACTCCAAGACGACCCAAGGAGGGCCCCAGAGAGCCCCAAGTTGCTCTTAGGAGAGCCCGAAGACCAGATGCCCCCAAGAGGGCCCCATGAACGCCCCAAGCCAGCCGAAGGCCCCCAAGACGGTCCAAGAGGTTCCGGGACAGCCCAAGGGGGCCCCAAGGTACCCAAAAGGGCCTCCAGAGGACCCCCCCCTTCTACGCCCCAAGGACGGACGTAGCCTTGATGCCAAGGCTCACAAGAACACCGGGTGTCTGGAAAGCGTCTCTGTTTTTTCGGAGAAAGCTCGTGACGCCAAGGTTCCAGAAGCGAACGGTGACGCGTACACAAATCTCCTCGCCAAGGCTCCCAATACCCAATACCAGCTCTTGCTTCACGGTGGCGTGAACAGCTCCTCACACCAGGGCTCCCAAGGTGATCTTTTTTGATTCGTTGATTTGCCGGTGGGGCGGGCCCTCGCCCCCCCCTCCCCGCCGCCCCCATGGAGTGGATCTTTGCTGTTCTGGCGCCCGTGCTTCCAGCTGGTGGGAGCGCTCCCCAATGGGACGCACTGTTGCAAACGCTGGCACGAAGCAGAGGTCTGGAGCCAGACTCCCCCCCCTTCCCCTCCCTTCCGCCCAATGTCGAAACGAGGAGGAGGAGGAGGAGGAGGAGGAGGAGGAGGAGGAGGAGGAGGAGGAGGAGGAGGAAGGAGGAGGAGGGAGGAGGAGGAAGGAGGAGGAGGAGGAGGAGGAGGAAGAGGAGGAAGAAGAAGAAGAAGGAGGAGGACGAGGAGGAGGAGGAGGAGGAGGAGGAGGAGAAGGAGGAGGAGGTGCGGTGACCGAACCGTGTGGTGAGTCAGTGGGGATTCTGGCGACCGGGGCCTCCAAGGTCCTAAAGCGGTGCGTTGACGGATCCGTGCGGTGAGCTGGTTGGGGGGTCCAAGGTCACCGCATGCGGTCTGTCAGCGTACCGTTCTGGGTTCTCAGCTAAGAGTCAGCATCGGCAGGCCAGTCCCAATCCCCACCGAGCCTGGGCCCCTTGGACTCGCCAGCCGACTCCCTGGGAGATACATCGATGGATGTTTCGAAAGCCCGGCGGAGGGGGCAGTCTCACAAAGGGGAGCAGGTTGGACAGCGGGGCTACGGCTTTCCCCAGTGTGGATCGGGGTAGGTCTAACGATGCCGCGGGAGGACAGGAACAAGTCACACCAGGCCCTCTGCATTTGAATTCTGGTCGAGGTGCCAGGCAGTCCAGAGCAGGCCCGCAGGTCCGGAGGGCTACTTCTCCTGGCGCTTCTGGGAGGGGGGCGGGGCAGAAGAGCGGCCAGCGCGGTCGTGCGCTTCTGGCACCCCTCGCGAGGAGAAGGATGCGCCCAAGAAGAAGAAGTCCAAGGCCTGAGCGGAGCGCCCAGCGCGAGCCCAAGGCCTGAGCGCCGCGCGGGGGGCGACCAGACCGCCGGAGTCGCCCGAGCTCTCGAGGCCGAAGAGCCGCGCCGCCGCGCGGGGCACCACGCCGCCGCCTGCGGCCGCCGCCGACGCCGCCGTGGTACTCGACTTCGTGCCGCCGCCCTCGTCGCCGTCGGCAGCGCCGCCGTCGCGTCGCCGTTGCCGCCGCTGCCTTCGACGGCAGCGTCGACGACACCGTCTCGTTCTTGGGCGGCTTCGGGGGGCGCCGCCCGCGTTATTATGCTCCTCCCTCCGCCCTCCCTCCCCCGCCGCCCTCCTTCCTCCTCCTCCTCGTCCTCCTCCTCCTCCTTTCCTTCTGATTGATTATCCCCTTCCTCTCTGTCCTGCCGCCCGTCGACGCAACAGGTACTTCGATCCTCGATCGCCTTCCTCCTTCCCCTCATCTTTCCTCCCCCTCTTCCTCTTTTCCCTTTTCCCCTCCTCCCTCCCTCCTCCCTCCTTTTTTTCTCCTCATCCCTCCTCCTCCCTCCTTCTCTTCCTCCTCCTCCTCTTCCTCCTCCTTCTCCTCCTCCTCCTCCTCCTCCTCCTCCAACCTTCTCCTCCTCCTCCGCCTCCTCCTCCTCCTTCCCTT